TTTATTACAATCAATGTTTATTTTAAAAAACCCACACTAAATTAAAATAGTTGTGAAATTATTTTCATTCATATTTTGATCATAACATCGTCATTTCTCAACGAAATTCAAAAAATTTTTTTATCAAAAGGATCAGCGAAAAAAGCTCTACAAAGTCTGATAAGAAAGAAAATTTTTTTGATACTTTGTGAGTTTTTGGTTGGCTACGCATGGCAGTACCCTGCGAAATCGATTACGAAAATTTATGTATTCAGTTTTATCGATGTATTTTACCACTAGTTATAGCTAGAGAGCTGAAACTTTCAACAATAAAAGATCTGGATCAGATGTATATGTGATAAAAAATTTCAGCCTTCTACGTCGAGTAAAACTATGAAAAATATGAATAAAAAATTATCCTCAGGTATTATGGGACACCCTTTATATGCTCGATCATCTTTATTGATATTTAAAAAAAACAGCTAACAATATTAATACTGCTGCTTTCAAAGTAAATAAATACAAATCAAATATGAATGAAAATAATTTCACAACTATTTTAATTTAGTGTGGGTTTTTTAAAATAAACATTGATGTTTTCAATTTCTTATGCTCAATATTCAGTTATTTACACTGGTTAATGCGTAACTATGATAACTATTCTCCTATTCAACTTCATAACGAAAAGAACAATAACCTTATTGAAATAGTTGATTTACATAGTTAAATGGTTGGTATGCAAAGGTATTTATCACCATTGGCCTGATCTGTTACGAGATGTAAGAGGATGTCTATAACGGTGAATATATTTGTAATGAGGTGTACGTCTGTAATGGGGAGAGGGAAGAGCCGCCAAAACTTGAATTGAAAACTTACACTCACTATTTTCTTCGAAACTATACGTGAGTTCCACAGAAAAGTTATTTATTGTTTTTCTATTATTTCTAACAAATCATAATAACTTCTTATGTGTAATTATCATCAATGAATGACAATTCATCTTTATGACAACGACCTCACTCAGAGGGTATAGTGACCGATAGAAAACCGATCAATATAAACTGTCACTGTAGATTCATACAAATTAAATGAGACATGGACTCCTAGAACAAGAAACACTATCATTGAGCGATGTTAAAAACTTTTGATCTTCTGTTAGTGTCTTTAAAGTGGTCCAAAACCCATTTCTACATTTTCATTTATACGTTTTCTTCGGCTAATCTTATGTTGTCTACAGATAGAGAACTATATGAGCTAGCTATAGGCAATAATAGAAATACGGCAGCACCTCTTACTCTTTTTTTTTTGTATAAAATTAGTCTGGCTACTTTTTCAACGAGGTATGTATATCACTGATTATAAATAGACAAGTTTCAAACATATAACACAAGCAAACAAATCTTTATTAATATATATCATATGTACAAGATGTTTAATCTAAATATCTATTAAAGAAATATTTGTACAGCTAATAAGCATTTATAATTAACAATTGTTGAATAATGATTCGATTACAAAAGATAATATCAAATGATTATGATCATTCATTTTATTCATATAAAGAACAAACGCAGGATTCCAACAGAGGAAAATAAATATTGAATTTTTTTGAACGCTTCGCTTTTGTTATTGGTGAATCGATTAATACTGGACTAAAAATTAATTTTTTCACTTTGCTGCAATTAAGTCGTGTTATACTTTTTCTGAAGTTTCTTGTCACGATTGTAAAACTTTCATAACAGACTCTTAATATGGTTAGAGATGGTAAATGTGTTTTTGTTTCATTAAGAAATTGGTCTATATAATGAATATAAGCAGTATCAAGTCGAAGCGAAATAAGATAAGGATATTTAACAATAGAATACGATGGTTTATAATTCGAATTCAATTTTTCTAATTTTGATAATTGTGGTTGATAATTAATAACCCACAAATATTTAAGAAAAGGAAAAGACCAAGCAATTCGATGAAAAAATTCATGTTCAAATGAAACTTCATCACACACCGTCAATCTTATAACATGATTGAAAACAATACTTGGAAATGTATTGCCAACATATTTAAGATAATCGAACACGAATGGTAATGAAAAGACATGACATGTAGCAATACCATATCGGTAATTTATAATACAATCCACTTGTTGATGTTGTTTCATGTTAATAAAAGATCGTTGAATATCATTTTCAGATAAATAATGAACTAAATTATTCCTACGAATCTTGATTGAAATACAAAATTTAAATGTACGAAGTCGTAGCATATGAATAAGAATTTCATCAGAAACATGATTACCATCGATTAATGTTGTTCGATTTTTAATAGTTATACACAAAGTTAATTCTTCAAGATTTAACATACGAGGAAAAAGAGGTAGAATTTGACTATCATATGCATCAGTTAAGCAATTATACATTGTTAAAGAAAAACATTTTAAATTAGGTAAATCATTCTAGAAAATATAAAAGATTCTATTATTATTAATCAAATAAGAAAAAACAATATCATGTGAATAATAATTCAAGATTGAATAATAGGTCTATTTCTATTTAAATTTACTTTGAAAAATATTTCTTTTATCGTATCATATTAATATTGTCTTCTAAAATGATGACAGAAAGTAAATATATTCTATTTCTAAACTTCTAAAATATAACAACTAATGGATACCAAAAAAAAAATGCAAAAATTTAGATGAAATTTATTATATCTTTATTAGAAAAATATTGTTTATTGTATAAAAACAAATCATATCGTTTGATATTATATGACTATATTCATTTACATAAAATTACTAGAATTGAATCGAACCAATCATCAATTCAAAACAAATGAAAATTATTCGAATCTAGCTTTTATATGTTTAACACTCATTATTTATTTTCACCA